TATCTATCTATCTATCTATCTATCTATCTATCTATCTATCTATCTCTATTGATCTATTTAGCTATCATCTATCTATCTGTCCCTATCTGTCTGTCTGTCTGCCTATCCTAAATTATCTAATTTATCTATCTACCCATCCTAATCTATCTATAATCTTTCAGACAGTGTGGTTTTTGCCCACCCTGGCCTGCTAGGAGCTGCTGGGTAGAGGATGGTGGTAACCCCAAGAATTAGAGAGAGCGCCTGCTTGGGGAAGACCTCGGGTCAGCCACTCAGGTGGGCTTCGGGCGTTGCCAAGACAACCTGTGACCGCCCCCGCTCGAGGCGGCTGGACTCAGTTATCCTCTGACCCGGGACAAGGGCGAGCTCCCCCCTTAGCTCCGCCCAGCCTGTGCCGTCGCTCTGCCGGGTCTGCGGGCAAAAACCACCAGCTTCTTCATCCTCCTCCTCCTCCGCCACTCCCCCTTCAGCAGCAGCCACAGCAATAGCAGCAGCAGCAGCAGCAGCAGCCACCTTGGGCTCCTATGGCAACCAGCCTGCGCGTGCCGCTCGCCTGGGCGCGGCTGGCAGGAGCAAGCAAGAGCAGCCGCCGAGGACGAGACATGCGAGCGTCGACCGGGGAACCGTCGGAGACCAAGGCGGGGGACTCCGGGAGCCGGATCTACGGCGAGAGCAACGATGGGGGGCAACCCTGTGAGTGGGAATGGGGGGGCTGGCGCGCGATCCGGGGGGAAGGTTTGCCCCTGCCCGGGCTGCAGAGGGGCGGTCGCTCAGGTTGCAGCCGGAGAGCCTCGCCACCGCCTGGAGGACCGAGACTTTCTCTTCCAAGCTGCTTTTTATCCATGGAGAGAGTGGGGAAGATTTCCAGGGTTGGTTTATTTGGGGGGGGGGGGGGGGGGCGCTTCGCCCCCCCGGTGTGGGGGGGTGGGGGGGGGGGGAGGGTCTCCTGTTTTTTGGGGTGGGTGAGAGGGGGGGCTTCAGCGCCAGCATTTGGGAATTAATGGTCAACCCAGATTGTCTCTTCCACACTGCTTTCATCCATGGGGTGGAGAAAGATCTCCAGGTTTGGTTTTTTGGGTGGTGGTGGTGGTGGGGCCTTTGGCGCCAGCAATTGGAAGTTAATGGTGAAGATCTCCAGGTTTTATTGGGGGTGGGGAGACAACATGGGGAGGTGAGGCTTCAGCTCCAGCAATTGGAAGTTAATAGGTAACCCTGGCTGGGTGGAAACCAAATTGGAGGAAGGCTTGTCTCTGTGGGCTGAGGATGATGGGCTCTGGAAAGCCCCTGTTGTTGGGAGGGCGGTTGAGAGGAGAAAAATCGGTTTGCAGAATTAAGGGATAGATGCAACCTGCGGTGTGGGGGCGTGAAACCTACATCCTGTCCCTCTATGGATCAGTTGCACCCTTGCACCCAAGCAGGGCTGTGGCCCATGATTGGAGAATTCCCTCCTGTTTCTTTAAAAGGAGATTGCTGGTGACATCATGGGCATGCCCGTTGTTGTCTTGGCAACAGCACAGAAGCAGTTTGCCCATTCACTTACACCTGGATAGGGTTGTTTTTTTTCTTCCAAACTTCCCAACCAAATCCATAGCCCTCAGATTTCCCAATATTAAGATCTAGTCTTCCAAGCTTTTTGAGATCAGCCAAGGTTACCAAAGATCTATATGTGATGTTAGATCAGGTGAAAGTTATATCATGCATCACACCTTATTTTTATAAATAACTCAAGGTGGTGAAGACACACATGCTGCCCAGAGTCACCTGGTGGGGGAAGTGGGAGGCATAGGAATAGAATAGAATAACATGGGATGGGATGGAAGAGGAAGAGAGCCGAAAGGGACCTTGGAGGTCTTCTAGTCCAGCCCCCTGCTTAATCAGGAGAACCTATACTATTTCAGATAAGTGACTGTCTAGTCTATTCTCTGGTGCTTTGGAGAATAAATTGACCCCTCTCTTCTTTGTGGCAGTCCCTCAAAATACTGGAATACTGCTATCATGTCACCCCTAATTCCTCTTTTCTTGAGACTAGCCAAACCCAAATCCTGCAGCCGTTCGTCGTGTATTTTAGCCCCCGAGCCTTTAATCCTCTTAGTTGCTGTTCTCTGAATTGTCTCAACATCTTTTTTGTAGTATGGCGACCAAAACTGGTTGCCATACCGTAAAATAAAATATCCCTTTCTCCTGTTTTCACCACAACAACAACCCTGTGAGGTGAGTTGGAATGACAGAGAGGGACTGGCCCACAACGTCACCCTAAGCCAGCTTTCATGCCTAAGGTGGGACTAGAACTCCCAGTCTCCTGGTTTCTGGCCAGGTGAGGTCCTCACCATGGTTGAAGAGAACAGATCCGATTTGTTCTGTCTCTTTTATAAAGAGAGAAAGATCACCCCACACTTGGTTGGGAGTTGATGCTCAGGACTTTTGAACAGCATCCCGTTCTGTTCTGCATCATTCATGATGAGTCTCCCTAGCTAGGATGTGCAGAGAAGAGCAACTAAGATGATTAAGGTCCTGGAGAGTAAAACATGAAAAACGGTTGCAGGAACTAGATGTGGGCTCGTCTAGAGAAATGAAGGAGTAGGGGTGACATGATAGCAGTATTCCAGTATTTGAGGGGTGTTAGGAATATGAGTCACCTAACAGGTATTTGGGTTAGAAATATATAAACCAGGATAAACATTTTAAAACTGTATTTTTAAGAGATTGCAAAAACTGCAATTGGGTGCGGTTTTTGAAACGGCCATAAGATGGGGCCAGAAACCTGGATTGTTTTAGTCTTAGTCTCAGAAGAGAGTGTGTCTGAGTGAGTATCTCTGTTGGAAAATATATTGCCATTGCTCCATTTTTTTCTAATTGACTGATATTTCTGCATTTGATGTAAGTTTGTTACTGAACTGTTTTTTGACACTGGA